GCTTAATGTCTAGATATCCTGGTTTCTATGAAAGCCATTGATTTACACAGTGTTTCAGTTTTTATGCCTAGGAAGAAGAAATTAGATATCTGCATAGGTGAAGAAGCTTGAGTAGGTGATGCAAGGTGATAAAAATAGTCTGAGAATATTCTCCTAATATTAGCAAGAGTGAAAGCAGGACGTAATTCACAGTGTTTGAAACTGAGCTGTGCCAAAATTCATTCAGTTTTATGCAAAAAACATTTAACACCACCTGATATATTTAGTCACTCAAAGCTCTGTGAATCAAATACAAAATTCTGTGAAAGAAAAAAGAAATCTATAAGCTTATTTTGTCACGAATTCACCAGAAATTCTGAAAATAGTTGGCTCCATTTGTCGACAACAATAAGCAAGAAGGAAGGTAATGGCTTACACCAACTGAGAAAGGACTTGTTAATGCCTGCAGTTTAAAAGGGCTGTCTCCCAGAAGAGTTTGCAATACGTTTTTGACTTCTTTATATTTTCTTCAGAGTTGGTTGGATTTCTCACAGTTAATAAAAGGGACATCTAGCTCCAAATGCTTTGTCTGGTATTTTGGGTGGAGTCAATAAGGTTATCATAAGGTTAATACCTTAAGGTTATTTTCACAATCAGGATCAGGTTTTGTGTTTCAAACCTCTTTAAAATCTAGGCATAATTTCCTTTGAGGCAATGACTCAGCCCCACTCCTAAGAGTGATATAAGAAAGCTTGGAAATTTGTAGAATTATTAAGTTCTATCCCTATATCTGGAACTTGCTGGCAATTGAAAATGATCTCACATTATATCACCATAGCAAACACAGCATTGCAATCAGATTCACTTGAGCGTTTCCTTCCAAGTCCAAACATTGACATTGTCTTTTGGCCATTGATTTTTTACAGAACCTGCAGATTTTTGTCTTTCCTTCCAAGGTCATCATTTTACATGGAAGCCTACTGACTGGGATATGACTAACCCAGTCTTGTACAGTCAAGTAACTGAACAAATACTTCTTGAGTGCCATATTAAATAGTCTTTGGACTGTTCTTAATCTGCTCACTAAAGTCATTGGAAATTTTGCTAGGCAAGAACTCTCTTCTTTAGTCATGCAACATGGAGAAAATGACCCTCAAAAGGACTAAAAGGAAAAATCTTTAATAAACATCCCTAGTTGTTTAAAACCTAAAAAAAAGGAACAGACACCATATTTCCCCCCATGTTTGTTCTGCAACAACTTGATTAGCTCTCAGATTTCAAAAGGAAACAACAACAGTTAAAAAAAAAAAAAAAAAAAAAAAAAAAAAAAAAAAAAAAAAAAAAAAAAAAAAAAAAAAAAAAACATAAAATTTAGCTTTAAGCTCAAAACTCTAGATAAGAAATTGAATTAAGTTATATTCAGAATAGAAGTATTGTTAGGATATTGAGTTATGCATAATGCTTCTTACTGCCTACTGTAGTAGCAAAGGGTACAATTTTGGGGCCTTTGATGTTACCCAGGGATTTGACTCTGACCAAGGACCTCAATTTGCTGATAAACTAACAAGTTTGATTTTATTGCACTCTGCCAAAGTGGGATTTATGTTCCGACTCCAGACAGCAATGAAGAAGGCGTGTAAGAAGAGACAGGCGTGTGTACTTGCACACTTAGAGTAACAAATCTGCTGGGTTGGGACAGCTTCCTTGTCAGATAAGACCCAAGCAGTCTGAATTTGTTTCAAAACGATGTAAAATATTAAGCTTCATTTCTGTGAATGTATTTCTGAAGACAGACTGGAAATGACTTGCTTGCATGTTGTGCTCTGTGGCTGTACTTGGAATCGGGGTGGTTCTCCTTTAAATAACTGCTCAGAAGCGAGAAAATTCAGGCAGTTGTGTATCAATTAGCAGGGTGCATTTCTTCATGCGAGCTGCCTGGAAATGCAAAATGACAAATCTGAGTATTAAGCTTTCCGCTATCGTTTTGCTTTCCTACCTCTAACTACAAATCAACTTCATTGTGACTCACAGTGTAAGAAGTTGGTGCATTTCTGCAGATCCATGATAAGATATTTTCCTCTGGTAAGAAATGCAGTTACACTCAGGATCTGTCTCTGCCAGGCCTACATGCATTAGTATTCCACTGGCAGCTGCCTTTAGGTAGGAATATTGTTTTTGTCCATAACCAGAGGGAACAATCAGACTAAGCCGTTCTCCGGCTATAAACCAGCCAAAGTAATTGGGTTTAATTTTAATTTTTGTAATAGCTTTAAATTAATAGGAGCAGCTGCTGCCACAGTGTGTGGGTGTCCTTTTCCAGAAGGCATAGAACAAAAAAGGGAAAGAGTAAACAATAGTGCGTCTAGGACACAAAGGTTAATTCAAGAACTGAGCAATGTCTTTTCGTTATCAAAAACTCAGTTGGTCTCAGTATGTCTCTTTTCTTTCTTTTTCTCCCCCCCCCCCCTTTTTTTTTTTTTTTTCCCTTTAATTCCCCGATAAGATCTCAATCTGATTAGGCTACCGTGTGTAAAGATGTGCTGTTGGTATCTAAACACTAACTCTCCTTTTCTATATGACTCACAAATAGATTAGCAGTGACAAAGTGCTAGGAGAGATAAAAATAGATTAGCAGTGACAGGACTACTATTATAATTATTTTTTGAAGATATCGCTTGAATTAAGAGTTTGGGCACTTCCTGCCCTGAGAGGGTGAATTTAAACCTAGGAACTGAGCATGCTTTCTGCTGTTGTGTCAGACACCAGATAGTGAAATGTCAATACCAGATGTCCTAGACATCAAGATTAGCCATAATAGCCAAATGCAGCCATAAAGTGATGTGTCAAAGTGGATAATAAAACAGATGCTTAGCTTCTATAATGAAGGAGAGAAGGAACGAAATATCAAAAGTGCCTTTAATACATTAACAAAGTTGTCTTCAACTTGCTTAAAAGTGGAAAGTTATTGAACCAAGGAGAACTACGTGTCATTTAAACATTAACTATCAGCAGATGAATTTCAATTAGTATTAGCCTTTCTAAAATCTTGACTTTCCTCCTATTGGTCTCATTTTACATGAATTTTTTATTGCATAAAGTGAGGCTTGTCCTTTATTATTTCTCCCATGCTAATTTTGAAACAAATAAAGTTCAACAACTCAGCAACACACTATTTAAACTTGCATTACGTTTTGAGGACTGGGAGCTAGAATACATTTACCCAGTGCCATATCATCTGCTTGATTTGAGATCAAATGAGGGATGTCCTATAGCACTCCGGAGTAAGGGTGAATGATAGAAATATGTTAAGATACTGGAGAAACCTATTAGGTTAGGGCACTGCATGCACACAGCTGGTGGCATTTTTCCCCTACTGCTACTTTAAAAAAAAATGGAATAGTTTTTCCTTTTTTTCTATCTTTTGCATTTGTGGCTTAAAAATCATTTTCAGATGTTAATGATAAACAAACATCTTATTTAAAACAAAAAATGCTGAAGGAAATTCGTGAAGGACAGAAAGTTCAGGAACCAGACTAATAAAAGCAAATAAATTCTTATTTCAAGTCTAATTGACTGCTTCACTGGCTCTTTATTGTACTTTTTCAAGAACATCTCAACTCCTTTCTGTTTCTCTTTGTAGCTCCTGAGTCTTGCTGATCAGATTCCTTAACTGCTGCTCACTGGCAAGCGTACTTCTGCATAATGAGAGGCTTTTGTCCTCCATTCCATATTAGCAGTGAAAGGCCATAACTGATGCTCTGCAGTAGACCAGTTTCTCGGAACTATTACAAAGAGACGTATTACTGCTGCTGTCTGTAAATCTTATTACGTTTTCCCTCACCGTGATCCTAGTTTAGCTGAGATCTGTTCCAATCATTAGATGAGACCCGTTTATAATGTTATGTAATTGAATCAGTTAGAGTCTGTAGGACTGCAGTGTTTTGTTGCCAAACAGGACTGGTAAGTTAGTTACATCAAATTACAAGTACATGGCATGACTAGAGAATCTCCTGCCTAAATAAAGGTGGAAAGTCCATCTATCTAATGAAGAAGGGACACAAATAGAAATATTGAGCACTTCTGGTTTATAGAATTGGTGTTTGATGCACCTTTGAAACATTACTCATTTCCTTTGAGAAATTAAAGAATAACCGAAGTTGGGTGAAAGATGTCAGGCAGACATTTTTTATTCTTTAAACAGATACCAGCTTAATAGCAATGACGTAAATAAATGTCTGCACTGTAATTATTTACCATCATGTATATTATTTTTTATCATGTCAGCACTATAAGCCAGAACTCTCCAGGAGGGCAGCAATCCAATTTGGAACAGGACCAAACATCCTTTTCTCCTTCACTTTCTAATTTAGGACCAGGTTATTTTCCCAATCCAGTTTTTTTTTTGTTTGTTTGTTTGTTTGTTTCCCGATTTTGTTTTCCCTTAACAATTTATGTCTTCTTCAATTCATTGGCTAGGTGCTGATACATCCCCTGACTACTAAGACGGATAGCTCCTTTGTGTGTATATGTATATCATGCATATATTATACTACGTACTGTGTGTATATACTTGTACTGTAATTTCTTCACCAATTATGCCTTGCCTGTGCATTGATGAACCAGTTGTGTATCAAAAGGCCTTAGCCACCTTCCAGGCAGAGGTTTGGCTGGAAACTCTGTAGCACTATGAGTTTGCACAAACTTGATAGCAAAGGAGCACACAACTCAGCTGCCTATGTATCTTCAGCACTTCTTGAGTTTGGTTTGTCTGACTGTGTGTAACTCTCCTGCTATATTGGCCTTACAAGCTCAGACCTGGCACAGCAGCCATGCCTAGCACAGGCCCAAGCTTGGAATTTGTGTGCATGAGTGCTCTGTAATGCAGGCTCTGGGATCTGTATTGTCTAAAATTAATTCACTTCATTTATACGACAGGAAATAGGAATCTCAGAAAGCATTTTAGTTCAGATTTCTTCTGAACATATATATGTTCATTTATATATGTTGTTTTTATTTTTTAGGCAAAGAATACCCTCCAAAAATGTGTATTACTATCGCTGTCCGGACCACAGGAAGAACTATGTCATGTCATTTGCTTTTTGCTTTGACCGTGAGAACGACACTTATCAATTTGCCTACTGCTACCCTTACACCTATACTCGCCTTCAGCACTATCTTGACAACTTACAGAGGAGGAACATGGACTACTTTTGCAGAGAACTGCTAGGACTCAGCGTGGTAAGTAACAGGCGTTTTTACCAACTAGCAAGGCTTCAGTATGGATGCTTACCCTTAAATGCTTACAGAGAATAATTCGTCATCCCTGCTAAGGTAGACATGCACACGTATTTGTTTTACTGTTGTCAGTGACACACAGAGTAGCTTTACTGACATGGTGAACTATAGACAAACGCTAATTTAATTTCATGTAAAATATTTCCTTTGTAATATGCAAGGCAGTGCTAAAATTCCCATGTAGGATCAATCAACCACTAAAGGAAGTAACTGAAGCAGCTTTATTGAAGAAATGTGATTTTTTAGAGATTTCTATCTATTTGCCTTTATGGAAAAAGCTTTTCTATTCAGAAGGAAATAAGCATCTTTTGAACAAGAATATAGCTTTTCCTGGTAAAGTAGTGCAAAACATTTTAAAAGCAACTTATTTTATTTAGTTTGAAGAATGTCTGCTTTGGTAAATTCAACTGAAAGGAGTTTAGTGCTCTCAATATATAGACTGTAGTGGCCACACGAAGATGAAATATGACAGTTCTGGTGGAGGAACAAGGTTTAATGTTAAGGCAGAACATAATTCGCTACAACCTGAAATGTTTCCTGTCCTGAAGATTTGGAAATCATGAATCGGCTACTGCCATATCAATTCAGAAATCATCAGATTAAGAAAAGAAATTGCTGATTTTTTTTTTCCCTTTTGTTTTCTCAGGCATGATAGTGCACGTGTTCCACAGTCTTAATCTTTTTTCTGAGATTTGATTTGGTCCAAACTTATATGAGTGTGTCAGAAAACAAAAGCTGCAGTTTTTTTGAAGGCTGCTGGTTATGGCAGCTCAGGCTTTAAAAAGAATCCCAGCATATATTGTGAAAATAAGAAGAAAATCATATGAATAACCTGCTCTGGAATAAAGAACTGGTTTCCACCATTATTAGGTCAGACCATTGAGTTCTTTGCATGGCATAAAACTCATTCAATCTACAGAGAAGAACAAAACCAAAATTCACAAAAAAATTTTGTTCTTAACCCTTTTGTCTGTTAGGCACAGGTTTTGCTCTAAAGAGGACTGTTACATATCTCTGAACTGACATTAATGATTAATCATTCCAATTAGGAGGACAAACAATTACAAAGGCATGAGGAATTTTTTTTTTAATTAAAAAAAAAAAGTAGTAAAATCTTCAGAGGGCGAGAGGAAGGAGTGCTATCATTTTAATGTGTGTAGGGTTTTACTCATTAATCTTAGGGGACAGAGCTATCATTAATTCTATAATGAAACCAAATTTGTTTCCTTTCACTCTGAAAATAGTATATAAACAGTCACATTTGCATATTCATCAGAACCCTGATCTGACTGATTAAAACACTGAGATAGAAAGATTTGTCTTTTATCTGCATTTTGACAGACAGAGCTAAACTCTTAAATCGTGTTAACATTGTGTTGCCAGTAGTTGCTAAACATTATTTTTCATATTTCAGCAAACTAAACAAACAGATGCCGTTCAAAACGTGGCAGGAAATGTGCTGTGTACAAGTCCTGATTTTCTATCTATATGTACACACACAGTATGTTTTTCAGAAATTGATATGGTAACATTTTGCAGCTCACCATGCTGATATGTATAAAAAGCTTCTGAATCAGGCTCGTGCTGTAAACTTTGTAAGTAACATTACAATCTCAGAGCATTTCTGGCTTTTCTCCACACACAACTGTCCTAGAACAGCTTGGTAATTTAATGTCTTTGCTGAGCTTGAATAGACAATTTCCATAAGTTCTCTGCGAGTTAAATATTTTAACATAGAGCTTTGTTGCTATCATACATCTTTAAATGGTGAAAAACAGCATCCTTCAGTCTTCACTGCACAGTACTTCATCAAAGCAGAAGCTGGCTGTACTTTAGAGAATTGCGTGCCATATAGGATAGATTTAGAGCTGAAAAAGAGAGCTCCATCCCCGCGCTGGCCTCTTACATAAGATAAGAGGAATCAGATTGGCATAACGAGGCCCTTAAAAGCTCTATTCCTGGCGAAGGGACGATACCCCTGGTAGCACATGGTGGAAGGAAACGTAAAGATGCCTTCTGAGGACAAACTCTGAAGTCCTCCTGCTGGGTGTGGGACTGAATCATGATAGCATGTTTGGGGAAGGCTGTTGCGTATCTGCTGAATGCCATACAGCCACTAATGCCTTTTGTTTGTTCCAGCTGATTTTACAGCTCGCTTCATTAATTTAGGGTTGTGAGAATGGAGAATGGTTTGGAACAATTTAAGTTCTCCTGGATTATGAAGTTTTGATCTGTGCCTCTTGTAGACAACAGAATCTTGCCACAGGTCTATGTGGTTATTTTTTTCTTTGTAGTGGAACAGTGAAATGCTAGTCACAAGAAACCGTGCTCAGATGATTGCTCCTGAAGGCTTTCTGAGTGCACATTTTCCTGCATGTAATGTTTTCAAGGCAATCTAATTTCTAATCTAATTTCATATTTTCTCTAAAGAAAGTACTATGCCTCCATTAACTCCTTAAATGCTTTCACTAATTCTATGAAAATTGAAAGTGAAATATCAGTGTGGGACATGTAATTGTCATTAGGATGCAGAATGGCAAAGTGGTTCAGAGCCAAATGGCAAAGATTCCCATTGCCAGTGTGAATGGATAACTTAGCTGTTCTGCTTCTGACCTTTTAATGTTTAAATGCTTTACTTCAGAGAGCTATCCCACATTCTGGATGTGCCAAATGATCTCGAAAATAGTCTCCCCTGCAAGCTAACTGTGATGGCCACCCAGGTGTCATTTAAACTGCTGTTTTCATTTTGCCATTGTTGCCTGTAGATAACTTCAGACTTTGTATGGATTGTCCCAGCAGATCATACGTTCAAAATCTGTAAGCATTTGAAAAAGATGGTGCAGTTGTTTTCTGTGCACATTATGAATGAGTCTGTCATCTTGGCAGATATTAGGCAATTCTGTACAGCATATTATAATGAAAAATAATTCATTATTTTATTTGAAAATATAAACACAAGCTCAATTTCTGCTACTTATATAATCTGTATGTGAAGCGTTACAAACAGTACCACAGACTTGGCAAAGCAAAGCACTTGAGTATCATTGTTTAGAGATGGTGATCTAAGTTAACTGCACATACTTGAAGTGTGTGGACGATTGATGAGACCTGTACCTCTACTAGCATTACGCTATCACACATACTAAATTAAATAAGTATTGGTGAAACTGGCTCCTGCAAATTGCAACTGGCTTGGCAATATTTTTATTGCTCACTTCAAAAACAGAAAAGATTAATTGTTGACAGATACTTCCTTTCACCCCGTTAGGCAATGGTTCTACCAAATTATGCTTGAGGAGTATTGCAACTGCACATAAAAACCGCGGGCCTCGAAGGGATTTCCACAGAGCACAAGCACTAGTATGTGGAATTCTGTTAAATTAAATATTAAACATACATATTTTAAAACAAGAAGGCAATATGTCTAATGCAGAGCCCTGTAAGTGAGCCAGTCTCTAAAGTCAGACTTGAGATACTGAGTGAAACAGATTGGAGCACAAGGTGCTTCATTCTGATGCTCTACCACTTCTGTGTATGCTTTTAATTTACGTAAGTTACTTCTTATGGTGGTATCAGAGTGAATCAGAATCAGGACCCGAGACTGTAAACCTGCACAGCCGATGGCATGTTGTTGGTTCGTTGATCAAATACCCCTTATTTGATGTCTAAACTACTGGGTACCTCAGTAAAAATAGCTAATCAGTTCTACTGATATCTACTGGTCCATTTTTAACTGCTCAGTTATGACTGTTTTAAAGCATGAAGCAAAGAAAATAGACAATTTTTCTAAGGTTAAATTTCCCATTTCTGTGTACAGCGTTAGGTTATGTAATAATGGTTCTATAAAAGAAAACTATAGTCTTCATCTTAAAAAAAAAAAATAGAAGTCATAGGTTTCAGTGTGATGTATCATGCCTTGGAAATCATGTTGGTATCATATTCTGTACTTTTCAATGGACCTGACTGCAACTAGGTTGAAATGTCATCTAAATACAATTTGTGGTAATTTACTTGGTCTGAAATAGGACACAGAAGTAATGCTAAAAAAAAAAACAAACCCAAACCATAAAACTAGCTTCTCATTTATCTGGAATGTGAAAGTTCACCCACACGTATGTTTAGGGCACATACTCTTTAATCAGTTATGTATCTATGTATACATATAGTTCTGCTTTTCCCGTATTATTCATAATATGGATGTTATCCCAAAACTATAAATGAGGTTCTATATGTTTCTACAAATATTTTCTTAGCTGGGTTTGAGTATTAGCAGAAGTAGAGTTGGGCCTAAAAGTAACACCAACACTTTTGGAATTAAAACATGATCAGTAATGTACAATATCACAGTGTGCAAACAGCAATCACAGAATCACAGAGGTTGGAAGATCCCTTTGGCGATCAATGAGGCCAACCCCATAAAAAGAAAATGCAGAGCCTTGGTGTCATCCTTTGGTATATGATTCCTGCGCTCTGTGAGTGCATAACCACTAGGCCAAATAACATGAAAAGTAACAAGGTATTTTCCATACATATATTCACTTTTAAGGAAAATTTCTTAAAATTTAAAGGAAATTCTGGGAGATAAACTAGCTAGTGAGATTTACAGACAAGGAAAGGCAGACAAAACTGTTAGTCTTGCAAGTTAAGATCTTGCAATACTGAGAAACTTTACCACATATATAAGCTGGTTAAGTCTTAAATTTTAGAAAGAATAATGTATTCTATCTTAAAATCATTTCTAGAAAGATTCACATATATTGTTGTTAATGTAACTCTAAGTAACAAATCTTAGAATTATAGAGTATCATGAGTTGAAAGGGATCCACACAGATCATGGAATCCAACTCCTGGCTCCATGGAGGACCACCCAAAATTCAAACCCTATGTTGAAAGAGGTATCCAAATGCTTCTTGAACTCCAGCAGCTTGGGCCATGCCCTCTGC